TAGTCGTAGTAGTCGTAGTAGTAGTAGTAGTAGTAGTAGTAGTAGTAGTAGTAGTAGTAGTAGTAGTAGTAAGAGTAGGAGTGGTAGTAGGAGTGGCAGTGGTAGCGGTAGCGGTAGTGGTAGCGGCAGCGGTAGTGGTAGCGGCAATGGTAGTGGTAGTGGTAGTGAGTACAAATACAAGTAGTGCAAGTAGTGCAAGTAGGGCAAGTAGTGCAAGCAGTACTCATAGTGGCAGTCGTCGCAGTAGTCGCGGTTGTAGTAGAAGTTGTCGTCGTCGCAGTTAAGAGGAGAAGTAGCAATAGGAGTAGCAGAAGTCGCAACTGCAGCAGGAGGAGGCGAAGCTCATTTCACATCTGCTCTGGGCAAACTTGTGCAGCATAGTTAGGCAGAAGGACCACTGGAACCAGCCAGCGCGGAAGTGCATACTGGCGTAGATATGAACTGACTCTTTATGAAACATAAGATGATGTCAGAACTCTGGCCACACAAGAAAACTGTTTGTCCCAGCCCGGCTGCCGGCGGGCACCGTTGCGTCGCGCACGGGCAGTAGCCTCGAGCTCCAATATCTTGTCCTCATGGTAGCACCGAACTTGGGGGGAAGGCAGAGCAACTGCTGTTCTGTAATGAACCTGTCACAGACTTCGGGTCTCAGGAAGCTAGAGCTTTGCTTCCTGTTGGCTCATGAAATCCGGAGTCAATGGGACGGGGCTTGGCTGTGGCTTTGAAGGAGAGGCTGTAAGGCTTCGGGTCGCCGACAGCTCTGCCGTGGTGGCGAAATAACTCTGAAGTTCGTGGGTCGTTGCCAGACAAACAGCCAGGGACGGCTGAGGTGATAAAGGGTGATTCCGGTGTGAGGACGACGACGAGTATGCTGCCAAATATCGCGGTCACACTTGCTCATCGAGCATAGTTGCAGATTTGGGACTTCATGCACCAATCACCCTGCAGCTTCGAGTGTTGCGCGATCTGCGTGCGCCCATGCGCGCCAACCCGACCTCAAACTCCGAAATGTTGCACTGTAAACCCGCGCCAAAGGCGTAGATCTCGGCAGGAGCACAGCAGAGCCTTCCAACACCCCGCTCTCCGGCACCCCAAGCCGTCTCACTCCAAAGCACAGCATCAAACTGCAAGCTTCTCAACAGAGTCCTCGCCATCCTGCTTCCCACGGCTCTGGCGATTGCCCAACATCCTGTTCGAGCTGATGGGGTCTACCACGAGGCCTACAGCTGACGCCCTTAACCCGAAAGCACCTAGAATCCTAGAACAGGCCCGCCTTAGGACGAGAGAAATATTCGCAACACTATCGCTGGATGTTTGGCTTTGCTTGGCCCGGTTGATCCCAACACATGTTTGAGCATCTGTTGTATGTCGACGAGGGGCGGGAGAGCGACGGAAGAGGAGGAGGAGGAGGAGGAGGAGGAGGAACTCAAAAAGCGGTGAGCATCAGAATGATATCTGATGACGATTTGTTTTCGAGTGATGCTGCTGCTGAAGGTGATTTGGCGATGATGATGGTGATGGTGGCGACTGCGACGACACAAGTAGCTCGGGTCTAGGAGTCTAGGAGGTCCTGTCCTGACATGGCTGCAGCTTGAATTTTGAAGCTAAGGGCTGCATCCACGGCATAAGCATGGACAGCAAACCGCAAAGTGCAAATGCGAAGATCTCCCAGCTGAACCCAAACTGCAGCTACTGGGCTGCGCTCCTGTTTAGGAGTGGCCGGAGTACTTTCACCAGCGAGGAACTTTTCCTCGGGCTTGTTGGGCTTGGACAGGGCTTGGACGTTCGAAAGCCGACACCCTGCTCCTCAAGTCGGAAAGGAGGACTCTGCAGGTTGATCAGGGAACACCTGTATGAACAGCACGGTATGCTATGAAACTGGTCTGGGCTAGGACTGACCATGTGTGTGGGCAAGCGGGCCATTCTGCTGATCGGTAGTCGGCATCTTCCTTTTCGCTTTCCGTCGCTTACTGTTCTTCTGTCTTTGTCAACTTCCATAGGATTGGTGTTAAAACGGCTGCAATGCAAATACAGACAGAAAAAGCCGTGTCTCAGCCGCTCGGACATCAGACGCACCGAGTCAGGAATGGATCGGCCCAGAAGGAACTGCACCATGTGGTTGCTCCTTGGCGTCGGATCAATATTTATGGCGGACTACCCAGGATGCCGAGTTACTCAAGGCCCTGGAACAGTCAGCACACTTCTAGTCGACAGTGGCATATTGTACCAAAACGTGGACCAAAGGCAAGTCGGAAAGCCACCTGTGCCAAACTCCGGACCCGATGCTCTTCAGTTGGCTAATTTCAAAGTGAGGCGGATATGACAGGCGCGTAGGGACTGGTGCCGAAGATAGCTGGGGCTCAGATCGTTGCAGTTGTGGTCGAAAGCATCGTAGAGATCAGGCCGGTAATCGAAGTAGACCCTTTTGATTTCTGCATTCAACTCCTGAGATACTTGGCAAGAAGATGGTGGTGGGTCGCTTCGTGTAAATACGTGGCATGGCCACCCTTCTCGACTACAACATCTATTGACTCTCCCCCGCCTCGACCGTACGCAGCGTGTAACCAAGTTGGACACTCTTCCTGGGCTGCCCGAAAGCGCTCTGGCCAGGATAACATGTGAGGATGTAGCCGAAGAAGTAGAGCTCCTGCCACGGGCCGCAAGTACCGGCTGGAAACTCTGCCATGCTTGGACGCAAAATCTTCCCCTCGAGCATCCGTCCTGTTGATCACGAGCCAAACTCTGCGGGCCTCACACCGTTTGTCCGAGAAAAGCCACCGACACTTTGAGTATGGCCAGGCTTGCCTTGCCAGTACTACTCCTCGAGATTACATCCTTTGCCATATTCTGCCGATGACCGCTGTTGTCTCACAGCTACATGTAGGGAGGAGAGAGAGAGAGAGAGAGAGAGAGAGAGAGAGAGAGAGAGAGAGAGAGAGAGAGAGAGAGAGACAGAGAGCGAGAGCGAGAGCGAGAGCGAGCGCGAGCGCGAGCGCGAGCGCGAGCGCGAGCGCGAGAGAGAGAGAGAGAGAGAGAGACAGAGAGAGAGAGAGAGAGAGAGAGAGAGAGAGAGAGCGAGGGAGGGAGGGAGGGAGGGAGTTATTGAGGGAGGGAGGGAGGCAGGGAAGGAGGGAGGGAAGGAGGGAGGGAGAGAGAAAGGGAGAGGGAGAGGGAGAGGGAGAGGGAGAGGGAGAGGGAGAGGGAGAGGGAGAGGGAGAGGGAGGGGGAGGGGGAGAGGGAGGGGGAGAGGGAGAGGGAGAGGGAGAGGGAGAGGGAGGGGGAGCGGGAGCGGGAGGGGGAGCGGGAGGGGCAGGGGGAGAGGGAGAGGGAGCAGGGGAGGGAGGGAGGGAGGGAGGGAAAGAGGCATGCCAGTGTACATCATAGGCCTGCTCGTTCTTAATGCGCTAATCTTGTTCTGAACGTCAGTATCACCCCTGTCTCTATCATCCGTAATATCCCGACTTCATATTCGAATAAAACGTTGTTAGCCGCAAGATCGGCGCTGCTATTCTGATCGTCGGCACGCTGGCAATCAGTACTGCTAGGCGTACTGGTGAAGCTGTATAGTGTGCACGAGTGCGTCGTCTTCGCCTGAGCCCTCGGTGCGAATCCTTGTACTAACGGAAACGTTCCTGCAAGACACCTTGACTCATTGACTGACCCGTTGAAGGTCCTGACCGAAGACACCGACGCTGGTGTGCCAAATACCATCCTCATACTGACCAAGCAGGATGGGCGACAGAACTGAAGCAAAGCTCTTAGAGAGGTCGTAGTAGTACAGCTCCACAGGTCTGAACGTCAAGCGCAGCACGTTCGCGACAAACTCAGCATATGTGATGCTGTCACTTCCTGTGGAGTTCATTACATCCAGCAGCTCAACATCGCCACAAGGATTGATCGACAGCATCTGCCGCGTGACGATGCCTGGCTCTCAGCGACTCACATCTAACACCTGAGCACCGAAACTATCCTAAAGCAAAAGAGGGACCATGTGACACGAGGCGCCGCAGACCATCTCATCCGCCGATAGCCATGTATAGACAAGGGTAGCAACGATGTCCGGGGTGTCCGACTCTCGCAGCTTCTGCGTGATAATTTCAGTAGCCACGGGGCCTGGTGGATGCATGTCAAGCAGCGCAGTGTGCAGCCACTCGTGTTTATTGATCTTGCCATCCTGCTCTACATCCATAACATCGAAGGCTCGCTGAACACTTCCCCCGATCAGCTCCTTTTCGGAGTCGCTCAGCGGGCGCTTGCACACCTCTGTAGCAGCAGAAAGCCAGTGAGAAGCTAGCTCGTCCATTGTAATGGCACCCGAACCATCCGCGTCCAGCTCGCTGAACTTGGAGAGGATGTTTGTCAGCACCGAGTTCTGAGCTACTTGGTCACTGCTTAAGAAAACTTCCAAGCTGGATTCGGAGCTCTTGGGAATGGTCAGGGGCAGTCGGTCATCTTCGAGAGCGGAGCCCCTGTTCAGCGTGATGGGCAGCTGGCCCTCCTCTTCTTCGGAGTCCCGGGGCAGCTTCAGGAATAGATCATCATCCTCATCGTCTTCCTGCCCATCCTCGTCCATGGTCCCAAAAAACCTACAAAGAGTCCCTGAAGACCAATGCTTTGGTTTTCGCTCAGGACGGACATGACCTGGTCTGTGCTTTACGGATTGGAGGTAAAGCTTTGTATAGTCAGTATGGTCACCTTCTCGAAAGTGGAACGGTTCGCAAAATGCTTTCGACACATTCGTAGATATCATATTGGCATGACAAGCACAACCGGGGGCCACGACCTCTATTTAAGCCATCTGCTGCAAATGGAAGTTCCAACATAAGCTGCCACATGTCGTAGACCGAATCACTGTTAATCACTGAGTCCAACAGCTCCGAAAGCATGACCGGAAGCTGAACGATGATTCTTTCATTCTGACCTCGTACTATGCAATCGTGCGCTCACAAACCTCATACACAACCCGAAACCCTAATCCTTAAACCACGATCCCTCCCGACCTGTGGCGCGGGACACCAGGGACGTGCCGGCACGTGCAAACACGTCGCCTGGCAAAGGCCTTGAGTTTGACCCAGTTGGAGGCTTCGGAATCTACGATTCCGGCACAGGGGATGCCATGAAGGAGTTCATGATGCTTCAAAAGAGGGACGCGCAGGAGTTTTGGGCGGAGGAGGGCCGTGCATGCAGCTTCAGTGATGTGAGTTGTGCACGGAAGAGCAGAAGCCGTCGGATTTCAGAACTTCGTGCTTGCGGATTCGGGGCATGCTTTGCCTATGTGCACGGCAATACAGACGTCTGCAATTCCGGGAGTTGTCTCATGTCTGCTCCGAGCAGCAGTCAACAGCGGCAGAATCGCAACCATATGCCATATGCGTTCATAGTGGCTGAGCCGAGATAGGAGTTCTCTAATTCATTTCTAGCGGAGTCTAGTGAACAAGCAATCATATTGCAACCGTGGTCAGCATTATCACCTTTCCTGTCCAAAACAGGTGGCTGGGCCGGGCTCCCAGCACAGTGGGCACATAGCGCTGTGCACAGTCCACCTGCGTACCTGTCCATCGAGGGTTTTGGGGTGGAGAGCGGAGGCGGAGCTTCGTACGAGTAGGGGTTGAACAAGCATCGAAAGGCCTTCAGCATCCAGAATTCCACACGCAGCGAAAGAAGTTTGCTCACATCCCCTACGCCATCAGAACGCACTGATTTAATGCAAGTTGCTCATCAATGGACTGCTGCGGCATTGCTTCCGGCTCTCTGCAAGGCGGCTCAGGTACCTGTGGACGAGGGTTACAAATCTTTGGGATCTATGCAAAAGCTCTGGCCAAGGCTAATGCTTAGGTCGCAGATTTCGGCAGATCAAGCCTGACTGCATGTTGAAACCATGTGGGCTGCCGCAACACCCTCCCGGCTTCTCCAGCATGGAAGAATCGAAATTCTAGAGTATACGGTGCTAAGTACTCCCACCATCAAGCGCCATAACTGGCTATAACACCAGGGCAGATGCAGTAAAGCATAGCAAGCCCCCCCCCCAAGGTGTGGACTTGGAGGCTTGGGTTTGGGGATGGTTTCGCAGTGCATGGATATGTAAGGTAACTCTGGGCCTGCAGCCGTGGATGCTGGGGGGGCGCACTCGCCTTTCGACCTGCGTGTGCCGCGCATATCTCGCACGCATGACTGATCCCGTCGACTGGAGGCATGCGACGGGCATGAACCCACGTCTTACGATCCACGTTTAGAGTTAGATCATCCACATGAAAGCGGGCCCTCCAAAGATACCTTGCCCTCCTCTGTTTTCTCCCCGGTGTACAACTCAACATGTAGGCAGTGGTGCGTCAGCTAGCCTATCCTTGCTTCATTTTGCACTGCTGCATGTGCAATGTCGGTACCTCCATCGAAACACAGATTTCCCCGCTTTTTGTGTTACAGACTGCTCATGATACAAGGACCCCCTCAGTATTCCAAAACGTAAAACTTCAGCAAGTAAACGGTCTGCAATACTACGCACCTCCATTGCGAGAATGCCACCCCCCCCTGTCGGATCATATGTTGCACGCCTCTTTTCCATTTGAACCGACCCGCCGACCTCCGCGACAGACTAAGTTCCTGAGCCAGCCACACGATCGCTGGCGGAGCCATGGTGCAGGCCGAGACTCGAAGTGCTCTAACGTACGACCTACGGTTCACGCTTTCAACTCAGGCTACCAGGCTACCAGAAACGGAAACCTTTCCGTGACAGCAACCCCACGGATCCAGACCATGAGAATCTACGAATCAGCGGGCCTTCAGGAATTTAGGCTTGCCTCTGGCTTCGGAAGGATGCCGTTTGCAGATGCCTTGACACCCGCATCCCGTCACAACCTGCTGGGGCCACAAAGTGCGAGCATCTTTTTGTCCCACAGCTGTGAGACCGCATGGCGAAAGCCCACTCCACATGAGGAGGTGCAGCAAAGGCATGTCACAGAACGACGAAACCTAGCTGCAAATCCGGAACCCTGCAAGGACACCGCTCAACAAAAACTCAAGTCAAGCGTGCTCACTCAGTGCATCACATATGACAACTGCCGTTGGTAGGGGCATTACGGTTTGGATGATCGTTTCTTTCTTGTTCCTTTTACAGACAAGGTAAACCGCAATATCTACCGGTCCATGGCTATGGCCGCCGCTGCTGCCTTTCAAGCTGCCTTTTCGCCTCTCCGCAGCTCTCGGCAGAAAGGGTCATCCTCACTGCGCACACCACGGCAAAAAGACGATTGAGCATCGCTGGTTGGCGGTGCGTTTCAGAAAGATGCCGTATGCGAAAGCCCCACGGGGTGCTTTACTGCAATTTTTGGCAACCATACCAAGATACCGGCAAGCTACTTAGACTTCATCAAACCATGAGCAAGAGAAGCAAGAAGAAGGTGTCATGAATCATCACGTTCTTTCCTTCACCATCATCATCGTTACCTTCATGACCACCACCAACGTCATAGAATGAAAAGGAGTATTGAGAATCTAGACACA